GGCTAATCCCAGCGGGGACCGCCAAGTGTGTCGTTTGCGGACATGCGGCGGCCTACCTAGGGACCGTCAGGCGCCACTACACTCGGGCTGAGGGCAAAGACGACCGGCTGGTTTTAGAGTATATATTCAGCACTTGAACTAAACATTAACGTGTCAGCAGCTAGTACTGTCTGACCGTGTCTGACGGAGGAGCGAGATCCAGCAACGGCAATCGGGCAATAGACACTTTCTTCCAGGCAAATCGTCGTTTGCGGCAGTAATCAATTCCTGAAGTCAGTTGGGCGTCACTCCATGCCAAAGCGTTGCGCGACGCGATAGCGAAGCGCAACGCTGCACTGATAATACCATTACTGATTTCCTGTATTCAGTTAGGTTTGTTAGTTTTGGTTGGCCTTTTATTATTTCTAAGAGACACTTAGCTGAACAGATGATTATCTCAGAATATCTTTACTGATTTTCTGTATTGAGTTAGGTTTGCTAGTTTTGGTTTGCCTCTTCTCGGTCGCCGCCCGTTGCCGCCGGCCGCCGGCCGCCGCCGCATGTCCGCAAACGACACACTGGGCGGCCCCCACTGGGATAAGCCGTCCACCGGTACCCCGAACCGACCGTCCAGGTACCGCATGTCCGCTAACGTCCATCCCGACCCTCGGCGTCCAGGTCATGTCCGCTATCGACACAACGCCCTCGCCCCCGCCCCCGCCCCCGCCCCCGCTGGACCCACGGGTAACCCGGTGTGCGGGTCGCGCCGCGCGCCGCGACATCGTTTCCCCGAGCGTATTAACGCCACGGCAAACGATTTTTATTTTTATGTCCCCCTGGACCGACCCAATAACAATGTGGCAAAGTTTGGTCGGAGGAACATAAGTGGGGGCGGGCGACATGTTATTAGCGCCAGAGTGTTATTACCTGCTCCTTTCTCATCTTTCCCTGCCTCGGCGCGACGGTGGCGGAGAGTGGCGGTGGCGGTGGTCGGTAGAGGGGAAGGGAGACTATGGTCAGAAATACTCGACCAGAGTGCTTTTTTTAAATGTTGGTTTTTTGTTCCTTTTGTTTTTGCTTGCAAACGAAAGAGAAGAAAAAGGAAATAATGAGGATAAGAAATATGCCGGGCGAGCTCGTAGCAGTTCCTGAAAATTTCCGAATGTCTGCATGTGTGTGTGTGTGTGTGTGTCTGTGTGTGTGTGTGAACTTGTATCAGTCATCAATAACGCGTAATGAAGTGTCAGCAGCGGGCTACGCATGCGCCTGGCGCGCCGCCGTTCGACCCGCGGGCTGTCTGCGCCGTGGCCGCGGAGGCAGCCCACGCCGCTCAAAATTCCAGAGTAGAGAGAATGAAAAATCACACCTTTCTCACCGTGTAGCGAGCGGCATGCCACGGCGTGGCGTGCGGGCCAACCTGCGCCAGCTCCACTAGAAGGAAATGCTGGTTGACCTGTCCTCGCCTCCTCTCGGTCCCGCAGGGCGTCCTCCGAGCGTTCGGGCGTGGCGTTGCTCTGGGGCCGTGGGGCTGTTCCGTTGGCAGCGCAGCCCCTGAGGACCCTGGGGTCGCCGTCGCACTAAAGTCTGTCTC